AGCCAGTTTTTCTTTCCCCCCCCCCCCCCCCCCCATTTGTTTTTTTTTTTTTTTTTGTTGTTTTTTTTTACTTCAACTTGATGTCATGTCGTTGGACAACGGAGCTTCGAACTGTTGTGTTGTTTAGTGGCGGTCCTTCAGAATGCACTTCATAGCGCCATGGATGCTATGAAATTGCAAACCGGAGCAACGGGGAACTTGAATACGCCGAAAGTGCGGCGCGTGTCATGTTTGCCATCAGAGTTGCTTGCTGGGCGATTTTTCCTTTTCTGAAGCGGGGGCCTTGTGGTGCCTCTTGTGAGGATGAAAAGTCTGTTGTCCACACACACGCACGTGCGCTATCGTCAGCGTGCGCAATGATGATGATGATGATGTGCCTGCAGATTATGTCTCAGTGTTCGTGGCTGCTCTGCGTCAAGAGCACTTGGGTTGTTCACTTGCAAGCTTCCACCAAGGAACAAAGGTGACATCCTTGATGTGCTTTTTTTTTCTTTTTTAAGCGTTGGTTACTTCATTCATGAGCAGGCAGCATCTTGATCCCGGTGTCCTTCGCCATATGATTCAATACTTACAGAAAATACTCTTATTTATTCTTTTTTTTTTTGTCTCTGAATTCATTTATTGTCGCAGAGGTCATACTTTTACTCAGTTAGGTATGTTATTATTTAAAGTACATGTATTAACAAGTTATGGCTGGTAACCATACAGACATCTCAGATATTAACTTTTTTTTTTTTTGTAAATGGATGTTTTTATGTTGCTCTATAATCGTGTTTGCGTCTTTCAGTCTAATATAAAGATTTTTTTTTTTAACATGTGTAAAGCTTTGGTCATCAAGCTGAGAGAGCAGAAGCCGCTCCGCTACTCGTACTTCGGCGTACAGTACATGTTCAGTCACACAGGAGCCAAAGGAGAGCACAGGAAGATGATCTTACTCCGTGCATTGCATCCGCAAAGTATTCACGTTGCTTCCCTTTTTCCAGATTTTGTTATGTTACAGTCGTATTCCTCAAAATTCAACACACAGCACCACTCAATGAGAACAAAACAAAAACACACATGTGACATAAGTCTTCACAGCCCTGTGAGCACTGGCTGGAGCCTCCGCAGACCTTTCCTGAAATTGTCCTGAGGACACTCTTCTGATATCTTGGTCTGCTTCTGGGAAAAGATGAGCTGCCGTCCCATTCTGAAATCGAGATGCAGCGCTTGGGAGTGTGGTTTTTTTTCATCCGTCCATGTATTCGTTCTCCCCTCAATCCCGACTAGTTCCTGCTTTGAAAAACATCCGCACAGCGTGATGCTGCCACCTTCACTGTCGGGATGCTCTTGGCCAGGTGATGTGCGGCGTCCGATTTCCTCCAAGCGTGGGGCCTCATTCACTCATGCACAAATGTGGGATGTTCGTAGTCTGCGGACAAGTTTTGAACCTCCTCTGACAACGCGTACACCAAAGTAATGATCAGCTTTCAAAATAATGTTGACCCGGCGCCGGCATGGTTGCTCGTGATGTAACTCCGACCGGCATATGGCTCGTTTATTTTCTGTCACTTTTTATGCAAATAAAAAAATGAAATAATTTCATGAATTTCATCAACGACAAAAGCCTCTTTGCTGTGCTATATTTTTTTCTTTAGCATCTATTTTAACAGCCTATGCAGTGTTTGTCATTATGTGAGCTTAATTAGTTTTTCTAGATCCATATTTTGTGCCACATACTCTAATTTAACTTTCTTAAGTTTGTAACAAATTAAAAATGGTTCCGATCATATATGTTGGCTGTTTCTTGTTCACTAGAACCTGACCAATCAAAACAATAACAACACCGGTCTGGGTCAAAAACGAAACTAAACATTTTCTAGATCAGTTCTTTGCACTGAAGACAGCAGTCCCATTCATTGTGCCTCATATGCCTCAGTTTTTCTCTTGCACGCTATTTACTCTTTTTTTTGGGGGGGGGTTTGCTTGGCTACTAGCTAGTGACTATTAGCTACTCCAACTTAGCATTAGTGAATATATATATATGTATATGGGGGGGTTCACATAGGGACAGGTAGTTTTGGATTTATTGTGCCTTAATAAATTGGCATTTAAAAACTGCATTTTGTATTTCCTCGGGGAGTCTCTATGTGGTATTAAAATTGGTTTGATGAACTGAAAATTTTGTGCGTGCTAAATATGCAAAGGATGCAGAAATCAGGAAGGGGGCAAATCCGTTTTCACAGCACTGTCGGTAGTGCTACATTTGTGGCCTCAATCTGAAGCTAAATTAATCAATTTATGCTTTTCTCGTGTTTTTGTGGATGAAAATTCCTCTCTGTCGTCCAGCCAAATGATCCGCCTGCGATTCAATGTATGTGTTGTTGTAAATGACAAGGGACCCAACACAAAGTTATTTTATTCGGCAAATATTTTTGAGAGTAATAATCGTCCCATTAATCCGTGATTGGAATCTTTTTCTACAATTTGCTTTAAAAAAGAAAATAAATCCGTATCAGTCGGGCTCCTCGTATTTGTTCAGCAAGCTTTCCGATGATTCCAACCTTCTAAAAATAGGAGAAATATTAAGAACCTTCTGGAAGTTTAAGGACCGTCTCTCACCACTGTAAACCTCCGCGCATTTGTTTCTGCGTCAAATGTAGAAACCTAAACGGGGAAATCAGGATGTGGTTTCGTGCAGAGTCTGTCATCTTAACTCTGAGTCACTTAACATCCGCACGGTGATGTGAAGAAAATTGGCCAGTACGTGCGAGTCATAAAACTGACGGTCATTTTGTGTACACGCTCAACATGTGCTCAGAGGACGAACATTTCTCCGCATTTATTCGTGAATGAGGCTCGTGATATCTGACGCTCAGGCCCCATATTTCAGTTTTGGTCTCATCAGACCAAAGAATTTTGTGTCTCATGGGTGCCTTTGCTGTTGCGAACCTTGTTCCGAGGACTCGGTTCCATCTCGCCAATTCTATCATACGTTGCTGACCCTTGGGATTTTTGCTCACATTTCTGACTCAGGGCCTTTTCTTCCGGTCGCTCCCTTTCGATGGGCGACCGCCTCTTCGAAGACTCCCGGTGCTTCCAAAGTGCTTGCATTCTCGGATGATGGAGGCCACTTTGCTCATCCGCTACAGTTCCCCAGATCTGTGCCTCGAGACATGTCTTGGAGATCTACTGACGTCGTGCTTGGTTTGTGTTCTGAAACACACTGTCAGCTGTGGAATTTCCAAATCATGTCCAGTCAAGTGAATTCACCAAATGTGAAGCAGTAGAAAGAAGTCAAGGATGACCAATGGCAACAAGATGGCTCCTGAGCTCAATTTTGAGCTTGTGTCTGGCTGTGGGCGGCCCGGTGGTCCGGTGGTTAGCGCATTGACCTCACAGTGCAGAGGGACCGGGTTCAATTCTAGCTTCGGCCTCCCTGTGTGCAGTTTGCATGTTCTCCCCGGGCCTGCGTGGGTTTTCTCCGGGTACTCCGGTTTCCTCCCACATTCCCAAAACATGCATGGCAGGCTGATTGATCACTCTAAATCAGGTGTCCCCAAACTACGGCCCGCGGGCCGGATCCGGCCCGCCTCCGCATTTGGTCCGGCCCCCTGAAAATACCACAGAGTATTTTGATTTATTTTTCATCGATGTGGATTTGTCTTTGATCATAAAGTTGGGCTTTTGCAATAAAATATTCCTTAGTTCTGAACCGTTTTCATTATTAACTATTAATTAGTAACTATTTCATAAACACAGATACAATAAGGTGACATTTGGTGCATCTTTCTGTGCCGTTATCTGGCAAC